CCAGTCCCCAGAACCCCCAGCACAGAGACACGACCCCCTGCCCCCCGCTACTATCCCAGTCCCCAGAACCCCCAGCACAGAGACACGACCCCCTGCCCCCCGCTACATCCCAGTCCCCGGTAGTCCCTAGCCCCGAGACATGGCCCCCTGCCCCCCGCTATATCCCAGCTCTTGGGAACATCCAGCACCAAGACATGGCCCCAGCCCCCAGAACCCTCCACCACTGAGACATGTCCCCATCCGCCCGGCTGTATCCCAGCCCCCCTCACCTTGACAGCATAGATTAGGGCCAGCACCCCCAGGCAGGAGCAGCCGCAGACAATGCTGCCTATGGCCAGGTTGCGGAGGGCACGGGGACGTGGGGTCCAGGAAGACGGCTCAGGCCGCGAGGGCCCCTTCTGGATCATCACCACAGTCTCTGCCTCATCCCCTGCGGGTTTCCCAGCGCAGCCGTTCCCCACGCCGAGTGCCATCTCCTCCCCCATGGGGCACCGAGGGCTCCCCCGGCAAGGGGCCGTGGGGACACCTACGGGACAGAAACACCGATAGTCACATGCCACAGCCCTGCCCTGCCCCGTTCCAGGCATAGCCATGCTCCCCCTCGGGGAGGGAAATCGAGGTGCCGGGGTCAGGGATAGGGTGTTGTTATTAGGGAGAAGCCCCCCCACCCGCGGCACCAGCTCCCTTAAGGCTGGGTCCCCTCTGAGCCGGGTCCCCTCATTCTTCGCGGGCTTCCCCTTCTGGGCTGTGTCTGTGCCTGGGATTCCTTCGCCCTGAGTCACTGCCTACGGGGGATTCCCAGGCTGCCCAGGGACGGGAGGGTGGCACCCAATGCCAGCGCATAGCACATTCCTGAGCTTCCAGGGACAGCCGCGGCCTCAGCCAGCAAATGCCCCATCCCCCAGTGCCCCCGAGAGGGGAAAGACCCCCCCTCATTCCACCCCCCAGCTGAGCCAGCCAGTCCCCCCCAGTCTCTGGTTCAGAATCGTTCCTTCGCTCTTTCTGTCAGCTCTTTTCAAAGGCGTTTTAAAGGCGGCTCCCAGCGCAGAGCAAACACCAGCCCCTGGGCTTCGCAATCACGTTGCCCGTCTCTCCAAAGCCTGCTGGGTCCTGACAGCGACTCTCAGGCCACACCTAACAGCCCTGGCTGGAAAATCATCAGCCACAACCCGGGAGGGAGGGGGGCTGCCTCTAGCCAAGAGCAGGGTGCTAAGGGGAGTAACTATCCCATAGCACCAGGGCAGCTGTGAGTCTGGTCTGCCCTAGGGAAGGGCAGGGAGTAGACTAGGGATGGGGGGAACAGGCTGGATGGGCCCTGATGGGGAGTCATCTCCATCTCTGCTGGGGAGACAGACTCTTGGGGAGGGGGCTGTGCAGAGAAGGAAGGGGGGGGAGGAGGAGCCCCTCCCCCCCCATGGGAGAATTGTCTCACCTGGTGGCAGGGTCCTGGCCTGGGATCCCAGCTGCACCCGTCTCCCTCTGCCTGTTTGTCCGCACACCAGTGAGTTCCCGGTCCAGGTCTGGCAGTGCCTCTTTAGGGCTGGGCCCAGCCTCTCAGCATGAGCTCATTGACTCTGACTCAAAGCTGGCCGGCTGCCTCGTCAAACGCCCCCACCAACCTTGCCCCTCTGGCCGAGTCCCTGCCAGGTCCCTGGGTGGATAGTCAGGCCGGGCTAGTGGCTTGAGCCTTGATATCCCCCTGCCTCTGGGGCGTATGACGGGGGAGGGCCGGTGGGTGGGCTAGGAGCTAGTTTCTGGGGCAGGGGAGCCGTCTGATCAGCTATGGCTGCCTCCTTCAGTTAGCTTGGGAGTTTTGCTCTCTCCATGCCTGGCAGCCCTGCCCCTGCCCCCCAGGCAGCAGCAGCAGGACAGGTGACTCTGTGTGTGTGTGTGTGTGTCCCTCTGCCTCTCAGCATGTGTCTGTCCAGCAGCCCCAAAGCTGAACAAATGTGTCACGAGCCACCGTTTCCTCTCCAGGAGGGGCTGAATCAGGAAGCACTTGGGGCCCAGTGCTGGGGACGATCCACCCTGGGACTGCCCGAGCCAGCCGGAAAACCGGTCTTCACTCATTCCTGTGGCATGCCCCGGGGCTGGCGTGCTACAACCCCATGCCCTCATATGGCACAGCTGGGGGTGTGTCACTTCCCCATGCCCTTATATGGCACCTCCAAGTGTCATATTCCCAGCAGTGCCCTATAAGGGCAGGGGGCGGTGTCAAGCTACCTGGCTGTGCCATACAAGAACAATAAGATCTGCTTGTGCTCCATTTTGCCCATATACATAGTACCACATCTATGTGTGTGAGAACGGTTGTGGTACTGTTAGATGGCAGTAAATGTGGCCATTATGGGATGCCAAATGCTGCTCTATGCAGAGGGTGCGCTAACACAATTCAAAGGCCTGCGTAGAGTAAGTTTTAAACGTGTAGTCACTGATGGTTAAAGTTTGGAGGGATACAATTACGACGACATGTGCGCCTGTGGAATTGAGTTGCCACGAATGATGTTTAAGAGCTTGTAGGAAGCTATACGGATATCTGGTATGACTTTAGCGAAATACAGCCGAACAAAGCCGTTCAACATTCCACGTGCCGTTCTGATTCTTTGCTCTAGCACTCTAGCTGGGTCGTCTGCCTCTGGCCCTTTGTCCACCCGCTCTGGTCTTTGAGCGGAGCGATTCTGTGTTAAACAGAGGCACTGCAGCCTGCATCCCAACGGGGTAATATTTAAAACACTCTCCATGCACAAATTTAACACAAGTATCTTTGGTTTTACAGTTCACATCATAAAAAACATAAGAACTGCCATGCTGGGTCACAGACCATGGTCCATCTTGCTCAGAATCCTGTCTCTGACAGTAGCCCATGCCGGAGCTTAAGAGTGTGCACAGTACAGGGCAAATATGGAGAGATCCACCCCGTCTTCCACTCCTGGCTTCTGCTAGTCAGAGGTTTAGGATAACCTTGAGCAGGAGGTTCTATCTCTGACCATCTTGGCTAATAGCCACTGGTGGACCTGTCCTCCACGAGCTTATCCAATTCTTTTTAAAAGCCTGTTATAGTGGGGTCATCACCATGGTCATGGCCAGGGGCACCTACAACAGAACCTGGGCAGTCCCCAAATTGCTTCTCTCTCAGGGTATGTCTACACTACGAAATTAGGTCTAATTTATAGAAGTCAGTTTTTTAGAAATTGTTTTTATACAGTTGATTGTGTGTGTCCCCACACAAAATGCTTTAAGTGCATTAAGTCGGTGGACTGCGTCCACAGTACCAAGGCTAGCGTTGACTTCCGGAGCATTGCACTGGGGGTAGCTGTGGGTAGGTATCCCACGATTCCCGCAGTCTCCGCCACCCATTGGAATTCTGGGTTGAGATCCCAATGCCTGATGGGGCAAAAACAGTGTCACGGGTGATTCTGGGTACATGTCGTCAGGCCCCCACTCCCTCCCTCCCTCCCTCCCTCCGTGAAAGCAACGGCAGAAAATCGTTTCGTGCCTTTTTTCAGCCCAGATGCCATAGCACTGGGATCATGGAGCCCGCTCAGATCACCGCGGCAATTATGAGCACTATAAGCAACACGCGCATTATCCTGGAGTATATGCAGAACCAGAACTTGCCAAAGCAAAACCAGGCGAAGAGGCAACAGCAGCGCGGCGACAGGAGTGATGAGGAAATAGACATGGACATAGACGTCTCACAAAGTACGGGCCCTGGCAATGTGCACCTCATGGTGTTAATGGGGCAGGTACATGCCGTGGAACGCCGATTCTGGGCCCGGGAAACAAGCACAGACTGGTGGGACCGCATAGTGTTGCAGGTCTGGGATGATTCCCAGTGGCTGCGAAACTTTCACATGCATAAGGGCACTTTCATGGAACTTTGTGACTTGCTTTCACCTGCCCTGAAGTGCCAGAATACCAAGATGAGAGCAGCCCTCACAGTTGAGAAGTGAGTGGCGATAGCCCTGTGGAAGCTTGCAACGCCAGACAGCTACCAGTCAGTCGGGCATCAATTTAGAGTGAGCAAATCTACTGTGGGGGCTGCTGTGATCCAAGTAGCCAACGCAATCAAAGAGCTGCTGATATCAAGGGTAGTGACTCTGGGAAACGTGCAGGTCATAGTGGATGGCTTTGCTGCAATGGGATTCCCTAACTGTGGTGGGACGATAAACAGAATCCATATCTCTATCTTGGCACCGGAGCACGAAGGCAGCCAGTACATAAACCGAAAGGGGTACATTTCAATGCTGCTGCAAGCACTGGATCACAAGGGACATTTCACCAACATCAATGTGGGATGGCCGGGAAAGGTACATGACGCGCATGTCTTCAAGAACTCTGGTCTGTTTCAAAAGCTGCAGTAAGGGACTTTCTTCCCAGACCAGAAAAAAATGTTGGGGATGTTGAAATGCCTCTAGTTATCCTTGGGGACCCAGCCTACCCCGTAATGCCATGGCTCATGAAGCCATATGCAGGCAGCCTGGACAGTAGTCAGGAGCTGTTCAACTATAGGCTGAGCAAGTGCAGAATGGTGGTAGAATGTGCATTTGGACATTTAAAAGCGCGCTGGTGCAGTTTACTGACTCGGATAGACCTCAGCGAAACCAATATTCCCATTTACCTCCAGACCAGTGGCACCGCTATGGGCACCCGCATGGCCCCACAATATGCCAACATTTTAATGGCTGACCTGGAACAATGCTTCCTCAGCTCTCGTCCACTCACGCCCTACGGTACATTGATGACATCTTCATCATCTGGACCCATGGGAAGGAGATCCTGGAAGAATTCCACCACGATTTCAACAGCTTCCACCCCACCATAAACCTCAGCCTGGACCAATCTACACAGGAGGTCCACTTCCTATACACCACAGTACACATAAGCGATGGCCACATTACCACCACCCTATACCGAAAACCCACCGACCGGTACGCCTACCTTCATGCCTCCAGCTTCCACCCCGGACACACCACACGATCCATTGTCTACAGCCAAGCGCTAAGGTACAACCGCATCTGCTCCAACCCCTCAGACAGAGACCAACACCTACAAGATCTTCACCAAGCATTCTCAAAACTACGATACCCACACAAGGAAATAGAGAAACAAATCAACAGATCCAGACGTGTACCCAGAAGCCTCCTGCTACAAGACAGGCCCAAAAAAGAAACCAACTGAACTCCACTGGCCATCACCTACAGTCCTCAG